GAGTCCAGCAATGTAACTATTACACCATCTGCTGGTCCCACCACTGAAGAATTTTAAAAATAGAAAAAAAAAGAAAGCGAGAGAAAGAGGTACTTCCGATAGGGCCTCTCGATGTCATAGTCCTCCTGTCTCCACCTTGGGTCGCAAGTTCTGTAACTGGCCTGGTGTGTACAGGTTGACCTGGGAACTGAACCTCGGCCTTCCAGCCTCCCAAGCAGTGCCGCTACGTATGCACCACTGTGGCTGGGCCGAAATTAGCCTTTTACATGTGAGAAGGAGGATGGCAAGCTTCTGTTCCATATTTATTTACAGTAGGCATGGTTCCCAGACAATGTGAGTTATCCTACGGGGTATAATCAAGTAACAGAAATATCAACTACTTGGTCCAGAGAAAATAAGAAAGAGCAGAGAAGTCAGTCCACAAGGCCAAGTTCACTGTAGGGCCTGGCCGTGGGAGCATGGGGAGACCGAGTGTTGGGATAGCGACTGGGCAGTTACTAGGGTACGTGTGGCCCAGGGAGATGAGGGGAGCCAGAGCGGGGACCGAGGAGGGGTCCGTTGTGAGTGAAGTCACTGGAAGAAGGGATGGCACTTGTCAGAAAGACGGAGGTGCGTTTGGAGAGGTGGCCAAGACCCAAGGCCTAGAAGATCTCAGAGCTGCAGAGCAGTTTCGCTGTGGGGCATGCTTACTGCAAGGCCCAGTAAGCTGAGGATAGAGAAGGTCCCCAGGAGCAAAAGCAGGCACGGGGAGCGTCAATGTGCCCAGAGTTCAGGGAGGGCCCACGCAAGGCTCAAGCTGGACAGGTGGGTCTCTGAGGCATGGTGGGCCCAGGGTGCCAGATGTGGGTACAGAGTTCCCAGGTGAGGAGGTAAGGACAAAACCTGGGGACCGTTGCTCTGTCCTCAGTGGCCAGGAGGCTAAGATGGAGAGACAACTGCTATAGCAAGAGGAAGGGGGCCTTGGGGACAGAGCCTGGCAATACCCCAACTCAGCAGGGACACTGGCCAAGGAATGGCCCCCTGGGGTGGTGTCGCCCTCTCCCCCTCCAGGTGGCTCCATACCATGGGCATCCATGACTCCTCAATCCCAGTGACCTTATTTTGTTTATTTATATATTTTTAGAGGTTTTTACCTTAGGGAGTGTGTTCTTGTGGAGAGAGACAGAGACATTGAAAGGGAAAGTGAGAGATCACCCCCCGCAGAGGGGAGAGCCATGCACAATCCTTTCTCCTCCCCGGATCTTGGCACATATGCATGCATGTCCAGAGTGAGTTGTAAGCCACTGGATCTGGGACTCGAACCACTCCTACACTGGCCATGTAGGAGTCCAGCAACATAACTGTTACACCATCTGCTGCCCCCCACCCCCAGTGGATCTTTTTGGCTCATCAACTGACAACCCAGTCCAGGCTCCAACACACCAGCCAGGCCAGCAACGTGGTACCCAGACCCCCACCCCAAACACACAGCTTTGTCCGTCTGCCCATTGGGACTTTTCCTCCATCTCTGTAGAGCCTGTTTTCCCTGGCTTCTTTTGGTTTCTTTTTATTTTTTAAAAAAATTTATTTTTTTTTTTGAGAGGTTTTTGCTGTAGGGTGCGTGTGCTCACCAGAAAGACAGAGAGAGAGAGAGAGAGACAGAGAGACAGAAAGTGAAAAACACCCCCCCATGGGGGATGGCCATGCCTCAATCCCTTCTCCTCCATTCTCCTCTCGGGATCTTGGGCACGCATGCACACGTGCCCGGCCTGAGTTTAAGCCACCGGGTCCGGGTCACGAACCGCGGTCGACTACATGGGAGTCCAGCGACGTAGCCATTACGCCAACTGCTGGTCCTGCCTGGCCTCCCTTTCTATAATCAATGTACTTCTAGAACATCTAGGACCTTAGAATCCCTTGTCTACATACCTGCCAACCCACTGTGTAAGACCTGTCTGCTAATGGCTCTCCCATGGGTCCTTCCACTTCCTAGTGGGTGGGAGAGTCTCGCTTACCACTAGACCACCGATGGCCCGGGCCTGGCCTGCATGGATGATACCCTGTCCTGCCTGGCTCTCCTCCAGGCCACACCTGCCCTGCCCCACCCCTCACTGCATCTCAGGCTGAGGTGCAGCTGGGTGGGTCTCTGGTTTGGTTCGTTGGGGTCCGTGTGCCCCACCCCCAGTTGAACAAGCCATTGCAGATCTGGGTTAGTTATAAATAGCCAGGCCCGCCACTCTCCTTTTAGCTAAAAAGAAGCAAAGTGAACGAGCAGTAAGACACACCCGGCACGCGTTTTATTTTTAATCTCCTCCCTCTGTCTCCAAATGAACCCGGGCGCCATTGCTGGGCATTTCTAGGAGCAGAAGCCTGGCCCACAGAACCGATGGCGCTGAGGGCCATGGCTTTGCCTCCATCTGCTGTGTAACCTTGGGCATTCGAGTTACCTCTCGGGACCTTGTTTTTCTGACTCAGGAGAGGGGGACAACAGAGGCGGTCACCTCCAATATTCCAACTTCAGTGACCTCAACTCCCTCCCGCTGTTGTTCTCTAGGATAGGGCTGGCTCAGCTCAGGCAGCAGTTCCTGGTAGCTCTAGCAGCGACATCTGTCCCTGGGATTTCCTAGGAAGCTCAGATCCAGGTGCAAGTGAGACCACAATCCAGCCCCAGTTCCAGGGCTCACAACTTCCTCACCCACCCCTGGACCTTTCCCCTCCATCTGCTAGCAGAATTCTGGGAAGGTCAAGAGCTGTAAGCTGGGAAGTCTGCCCAGGTCATGGGCTGGGTGAGACGCAAGGCCCGGCGCAGACAGGGAGGTGCAGGTAGGTGCCCGAGGGGGAAGCAGAGAGAGAGCGCAGAAGGCCAGATATGTGGCCCGGCAGCGCCCAGCCAACGTGGAGGGTTGAGGGTGAGAGTTCTAGCAGGAACCTAGAGAAGCGGCCCGGGGGGAACCCTGAGATCTGCAGGGCCCGACCTGTGTAGTTTTCATCCTCAAGTCCTTTCTCACCCCAGCAGGCCTGTGCTGGGAGCTGGGACTCAGGGCTGGTAGGATTCAGGAGACTATGCCACACCAGACCTGGACATTCTCGGCTCACATGAGCATCTCTTACGTGGATGTGGAAATCCGCAGCTCACAGAAAACATCCCCGCCATGACCCCGCTGGTATTACACTACCCTCCACTGCGTAGGCACACTGCACTGCTGCGGGAACCGGGCTCAGAGAGGTTAAGTCACTCATCTAAGGTCACACAGAGAAATGATACATTTAGGAGTCAAGCCCAGGCTTTTTTTTTGAAAGCTGTGTGTATTAAATCTTAAAAAACCCAACTTGGGGCCAGCTAGTGGCATGGTGGTTAAGACACTAAGATCCCACATGGCCAGCAGCATGGTTCAAGTCCTGGACCCGGAGGCTTGAAACTCACACTGGGCACGTGTGTGTGTGTGTGTGTGTGTGTGTGTGTGTGTGTGTGTTTGAAATCTCAAGAGGACAGTGGAGGAGAAGGGATTGTGGTGTGACCATCCCCCCAGGGGACAATTTCTCACTTTCCCTCTCTCTGTCTCTCTCCTCTCCGGGAGTACACGCGCCCTATCACAAAAAAAAAAAACCCCAGAAAACAAAACAAACAAAAACAAAGTCCAACTCGCTTGAAGCAACAAGAAACCGATTTTCCTGTGTCCCGAGTGCCCTGAGAACACTTGGGCCGAGATCACTGCTCCACTCGACACCCCAGTGAGCGGCTGGCGTGGGCGCTGGTGGGGGACATGGGGAGCGGGGAGTGAGGGCCATTTGCTATCCTGCCCTGCCTCTCCACCTCCTCACCCTGGTACCTGCCATTTGATATCTTCAGGGAGTGAGGGAGGAAGGCTGGGGTGACGTCTTCAAAGAGGAAATCCCTGGTGCTAATTGGCACTCAGAGACCTTTAGGCTAATTAACCTGTTTATTTGTCTCTCTAGAGTAAATTAGAGGTTCAGCTGGGGAGGGCGGAGAGAGAGGTGTTTGCTGGCGGTCACCTCTCCCGGGGCTATAGATGGCTTCCAGGGAGGCGGGGAGAGGGCCGGCTGCGCTGCGGGGCAGCAGTGGCAGGTGGCCGGAGCCCTCGCGGAGAGCTGCCCTCTTGGGCACTGTGCTCACTAGCCCTGTGCTCCTCATCTCAAGGGCTTCCGGGGACCCCTCGGGATGCCATGTTGGGGTTCTGGGTTCTCTGAACAGCCACTGCAATCACTCCCCGGGAGTCTTGCCTCACTGTGTCCCTCCCAGTACCTGCGCCCCAGCTGTGGAGACCCTTCAAGACCCTCTTGGCTATGGGAACCAGCAGTTAGCGTAATGGCTATGTCGCTGGACTCCCATGTAGTCGACCGCGGTTCACGTCCCGGACCCGGTGGCTTAAAACTCACGCCGGGCGCGTGTGCGTGCATGCACAAGATCCCGAGAGGAGAATGGAGGAGAAGGGATTGCG